AAAAAAAAAAAAAAATTTACTCTTGCTGTTTGCTGCAGCGGCTAACTTTTTTTCACTTAACCTTTCAGGGATTTGCTGACATGTACTTTGGTTTCATATCATCTTTTAAACCAACTAATGTTGACGAATACCGTCAAAAGGTAAACTGCATGAACAAACACAAATTAATCAATTATCATTTCCCTTCAATTACTGATTATTGACCTATTGAAAGAGAACTGGCACGTGGTCTACAAATTGCCTTTTCTGTTTCAGATAAAATCATGGATTGACACATTCTCCTCATTAGGGGACAAGAGGATTGGGTATGCAAGAGAAAGAGTGACATGCTATATGCATGCAGCTGCATATCATATTCCTCACATGGTAACACAACACAACAACCTCAAACAATTTAGTGGTCAAGGTACAGTTTTGATCCTACTGTATAATTATATGGAACACAAATTACCCAAATTTATCAAAGAAAACCATTAAGGCAATATAAATCCTACTTTCATTTTTCTATTTAGGTGTCGAAAAAAACAATGATGACGCTAGGAGAATCTTGCAGAGAAAAACAAACCACACTGACGATCCTGCTGCAATTCTACGAGCAGAGCATCGCATTCGTGTGCTGAAGCACAGGGAAAGAAAGCCCAGAACATACACCAAAAAGAGCACAGGATATTGGGAAAATGACATTAAAGCAAACCGCAAAATGCGCAAACGTCTTAGCTATGACAGCCACATAGGATAGGTGGATGTGGCCACTTTTATGTGGCCACTTTTATGTGGCCACTTTTATGTGGCCACTTTTATGTGGCGACTTTTATGTGGCCACTTTTATGTGGCCACTTTTATGTGGCCACTTTTATGTGGCCACTTTTATGTGGCGACTTTTATGTGGCGACTTTTATGTGGCGACTTTTATGTGGCGATTTTTATGTGGCAATTTTTATGTGGCAATTTTTATTTGCCCGTGTAGATGATGAAAAATGATCAATTTTTGTGTGACAACTGCATTTGCTAAAAAGCTGGCGTGTTAGTTTTTATGTGGCAAATAAAAATTGTCACATAAAAAAAATGTCCGTGTAGATGAGACGCCACATAAAATGTGACAAACGCGCCTTAAGCTGCAACAAGTCTGGCACGTCTTTTGACTTTCGCCATCTTGCTTTTTTCCTTTCCATGAGCATCTCCGCTGTGCCAAAATTATTACTGACGCAAATTAACAACAAATATTTGTCGAGCCATCTACTCGGGCAAATAAAAGTTGCTACATACAGTTGCCACATAAAAATTGCTCGTAAGACGGGGCTTTAGTTAGCTATCAGTAAGGCAGAATGGACCAGATGCAACGAAGTGTGAACGTCATGACTCCGAGTCAAGTATTTTTTAGTGGGGCCCGATCTAGCTAAGTCAATGAGTCAGTTTACCACATGACCAACCCTCTATTTCTTTCCTTCTTGCATTCTGCATCTCGCAAGTCCTTATAGAGGACCCCGTGACTTTTTACGACCCTTCTCACGACATTTCGGCCCTCATTAAGACAAACAATCTTTATAATAGAAGTCCGTACGGCGCCGTGTTTCTGTTCAAAAAGTGCTTATAGTCTTGAAGTTTGCTATTCAGGTCGAAAAGTTTCGTGAAACATAGGAGTGACTATAACTGTCTTGTAATGAGCTGATGGAGAGGTATTTCACCCAAATTCTCATCTCTGGCTCAAATATTCAAATTCTCTTCAAGTTTAAATTTGCACAACTTGAAAAGTTGGTGCCTAAGGTACTTTAAACTAGTCTGAGACAT